GTGTTACCTCCAGCATCATAACATGATCTAGTGACCTGACACGTTTGTGACAAAGAATACCTACCAATTCAGAAGCTCTTTGGTTTTCTTTCCATGAAATAGAATTATTTCTTCTGTTCTGTGTATGAGCGTATCCTAGCAATCCTGTACACACCCACATAGATGTCTACAAGCCTATGAATTTTTCTCTGTAAATAAAAATTTATCTCAATTTCCCTCAATGTTCATAATTCTCCTGATGGTGAGGAAGGTCTTTCTGGATCTGTTTAAACAAAATATCCAGAGACCATGTGGTAGGTAAGGAGCTCACCTGGCTCTGGATGTTGGCTCTGTCTCTTTCCCTCTGTTGTCCCACAGGTCAGCTCACTTGTTCAGTCCTAACAAGAGAGCCCAGGTTTGTCCTGATGTTGAAACACACCCAACTTCTGATGACTCTCCTGTTACCCACATCCATGGAGATAGATTATTTATTATATAATTCAACAAACTAATGTCAAATGCCCAAGATGCAATACCGCAAACTGCATTGTTCATGCAATTCAATGAAGGAGAAAGTCTTTCAGACACAGGTGCACCTGACACGATAAATATGTGGGTGAGGACTCTGGGCTTGAGTGTCATTGTCCCGCCATGTTTCAGAAGTATGACCTGTCAGGGAAGAACCAGAGTTCCTTGTGCTCTCAGAGGGGAGGGCTCACAGATGTTCTCTCTTGTTCCCAGGAAATGCAATTGCATTAATCTTGATGATGAGACTATGCTCCTGTGCTGACCTATTATAGTTTTTGACTGAAATTGTCACTGTGATCCCCAATCTACATCTATTCACACAGAAGTGTATAAAGGTCAGGCCACATTCTCAGCATCACACATTGACGTGGTTGGAGATACGTCCCACTACCTTCTCCTGAGATTGCAGACAAAATCCCAAACTTCAAATAGTCACAAAATGGAAGGTCTCAGACGTTTTTTTTTGTTTTGCTTTGTTTTTTTTTTTCTTTTAAATGACACACTCTCCGGGACAGATATATTCCCTCTAACCATGATGGATATTCTGAATTACAATAAACATTGCATGGATGTAGGTTTATATAAATTCATTGTGACGAATATATTTAGCTGCTGCCCTAATGTTTTGAATGGAGATTTGACAATTTAGATAACCTGGATGTTTGGTTGGTTTCATATAAATCTTCAAGGGTAGAACAGCATTGAACCTATTCCAAAATCTATCCCTGATCCATGATCACACTCATCTCCCAGACCAGCTCCTTCAGCACATCTCCCTACCTGGAAGAAGATGAATCTGGGCTTGGTGAGGGGAGGCCCCAGGAAGAGAACTGAGTTCTTAGAGGGCACAGCCACCATCCTCCTCTCAGGGTGAGCCTCAAAGACTGGGGCCTCCCTCATCCCTTTTCACCTCTCCATACAAAGGCACCACCCACATGCAAATCTTCACTTAGGCACCCACAGGAAGCCACCACACATTTCCTTAAATTCAGGGTCCTGCTCACATGGGAAATGCTCTCTGAGAGTCACGGACATCCTGTGCAAGAACATGAAGCACCTGTGGTTCTTCCTCCTCCTGGTGGCAGCTCCCAGATGTGAGTGTCTCGGGGATGCAGATATGACGATATGGGAGGCCGTCTCTGATCCCAGGGCTCACTGTGGTTCTCTCTGTTCACAGGGGTCCTGTCCCAGCTGCAGCTGCAGGAGTCGGGCCCAGGACTGGTGAGGCCTTCGGAGACCCTGTCCCTCATCTGCACTGTCTCTGGTGGCTCCATCAGCGATAGTTACTACTGGAACTGGATCCGCCAACCCCCAGGGAAGGGGCTGGAGTGGATTGGGAATATCTATGGTGGTGGTGGTAGCACCAACTACAACCCCTCCCTCAAGAGTCGAGTCACCATTTCAAAAGACGCGTCCAAGAACCAGTTCTCCCTGAAGCTGAGCTCTGTGACCGCCGCGGACACGGCCGTGTATTACTGTGCGAGAGACACAGTGAGGGGAGGTGAGTGTGAGCCCAGACACAAACCTCCCTGCAGGGAGGCGGAGGGGGCGGGCGCAGGTGCCGCTCAGGACCAGCAGGGGGCGCGCGGGGCCCACAGAGCAGGAGGCCGGGTCAGGAGCAGGTGCAGGGAGGGCGGGGCTTCCTCATCTGCTCAGTGCTCTCCCTCCTCACCAGCACCTCGCTGTCCCCAGGGCTCCTCTTTCTCTGATATCTGTGGTTCTGCTTCCTCACATTCTTCTGCCAGAAAAGAAAGGAGGAAGGCACATTTTCCTCTTACAATGGAAGTTTCACCGATTACTAGGAAATTTCCTACAAATTCCTGCATGGCCCATTATTCCTTAGTGATTAAAAATATATATATTCTAATGCTTCTCACCATCTCTTGATTTGTGTCATTAATTGAATTGTTCCCTCTTTGAAATTCATATGTTGAAGCCTTAAATTCAAAGGATCTCTATTTGAATTTTAATGAAATGATTAAGGTTAAATGTGGTCATAAGTGTAAGACCCTAATGCAACAGACGTGCTGTCTTTATAAGAAGAGGAAGAGACACCAGAGACCTCTCACTTTTCACGTGCACGCAGAGAAGAGGCCATGTGGAGATGCAGTGTATTAGAAGGTGCCCCAGTGCCTGCCAGGAAGAAGCCGCATGAAGAACCAACCCTGCCAGCATCTTGATCTTCAACATTCAGACTTCAGAATTGTAAGAAAATCAATATCTGTTGTTTAAGCCACCCACTCCGTGTTGTCTTCTTAGAAAGACCCAGACAGACTAATACCACGTAGCTCATAACTCTGTTAGCGCTGTCCCCTGGATGGAGAATCAGCCCCCTGAAGCTGGGCACATCTCTCAGATTTCTACATAAAGTAGGCAAAAAATAGTAGCTGTGATATAAAAACTTGTCATGTCCCTGTTGGCCAATTTCTGGGCAAAGTGTTTTAATGAAGCCCCTGGGGCTTTGTCACAAAAGTTGTCTTTTATCTTTCATTACCCCTAACTAATGGACAATGGGTACCTGCTGGATGGAGACTGACCACTGACCATCTTCTGCTGTCTCCTTAGTATGCCACAGAAAACCACACCAACATCACTCTATGTCTTCAACTTTCTAAATTTGCACTGAATCTATTGCTAAATGAGGAACTACATTAGGTCTGAGTTTTGTTCCCTTCTTCCCAGTCTTCCTCAATTACCAAGGGCAGAAGAGACTTTCAATGAAATTTGGCTGTCAATGCCCCCAACACCACGTCACTTTTTGAGGTTCGGGAACTTTATTTGGGGGATAGTGAAATACACTTTTAAATGGAAAGCCCTAAAGCACATACAACAGCTGAAGGAATGGCCACTGTGCACCTGAAGGCTGATAAGGCAGATGGTAGGGTCCCTTCCTCCAAGATGTTCCTGGGTGTGTGATGATTGGATGTGTCATGCATATGGAAATAAGGACTGGGCTGAAGTAGACACAAGGGCCACATCCCATAGGAAAACAAAACAGGAAAAAACAGATGGGCATCTGTGAAGACCGTTAATTAAATTTGTTGGGTTTAAGATGAAATTTTTTTCCAAAGTTTTAGTGTTCTTAACTAAATATGAATCTTTTCAATAAACTGAGAATTAAAAGGAGAACCGAGTTAGAAGTTGAGAGAGAAAGAAAGTCCTGAAAGAACAGAAAGAAAATTCACACAAAACTATCAAATGACAGAGGCCAGAATGGAGCTGATGCAACTATGTCATTATTTTGCAGACCTAGTTGAGAGTCTTTGTTATTTAAGGCAGGCCCAGTGTTGAAGAACTCCTTTAGTTTTTGCTTCTCTGGGAAAGGTCTTATCTATCCTTTCTTTTACAAAAAGATTTACATGGTAAAGTTTCTTGGTTGGCAGAGTTTTGTTTGTTTTTCAGTTTTTTCCCCCCAGCAATTTGAATACAGTCATATGCTACTTAACAATGTTATAGTCAATAATAGACCTTATGTATGCTTGTGGCCACATAACATTGTAATACTGTATTTTCACTAAAGGTGTTCCATATTTATATGTGTTTAGATAGAGAGATATTTACCACGGTGTTTCATTTTCCTAGTGTTCAGAGCAGTAACACGCTGTACAGGCTGGTTGTCTGGAAACTTTGTGCTGTTTCAAATAGCCTATGTGTAGTAGGGTATTCTTTACAGGTTTGTGTAAGTTCTCCCTATGATGCTTGCACAATAATGACATTGACTAGAAACACATTTTCAGAAATAATCTCTATCACTAAACCATACATTATTGAATATAATTCCTCTCCATTCTGAACTGAAAACCTACTGCTGAGAAATCTGCTAAATCTGCTCTTTTTCTTTCTGTTTTCAAAACCTTTCTTTTTAACAACGTGGTTTCATACTATCTCTGATTTTTCTCATTTGGTTTACCTTATTTAAAATATATAGAGCTTCTTGGATGTGGATGAATATTTGCTTCTCCAGATTTAGAAAATTTCTATGCTATTACTTCTTTGAAAACCTTTCTGCTTCTCTCTCTCTGTCTCTCTCCATCTCGCCCTCTTCCTTCACTACCCCTTTTATCTAATCTTTGCATAACTCTTCAATGCATAATTTAGTTTTCAGTGTGTTAAAGACACATAAGTCTTTAACTCTTTTTATTTCTTTCATTTAAATTTTTCTTCTCTGTCTCTATTAGTTCAAATGATCTTTCTTTGAGTTTACTGTTTCTTCTATTACTTGATCTAGTCTGGTCTAAAATCCTCTGTTAAAATTTTTGGCTGACTTACTGTATTCTTCAGCATCAATATTTTTGTTTAGTCATCTTTTAAATGTTTTATCTCTATTAAAATTCTCACATTGTTCTTGCCTGATGCCACTAGCTCATTGAACATGTTTCTAACATTTATTTTAAATTTTCTTCCAGGTAATCCATATGCTTCCTTTTCATTGACGTCAGTTTCTAGATCTTTATGTTGTTCTTCTGTTTGGACCATGTTCCCCTCCTCCTTCATTTTCCTTCACTGTCTTTGCTGTTACCTATTCATTATAACAAAAGCCACCATACACTCTTCAAAGACGAGGCTTATAGAGATCATCCTCACCAATCAGTCCAGGCAGTAATTTGGGTCTCTCAAAACTTCATAGTATTCAAACTTCTGTCTCTGTTCTTAATAGTCCCTGGGTTTTAGAGGATGATAGATTCTGCCAGAAATCACAGGTAGGGGAGGTAGAAACGATTTACTCAAGCAACCCCTTGAAAATGTGGACCACTGGACAAAGTTTTATTATTGATGTATGATTCATCAAGATAATGTTCGTTCAAACTTCTCTCAACCAGTCATTAAACATAGAAATTTTATCATTTCTTATTTGAATCTGGAGTTTATTCTTTGAATATATGGGTAAATTTTCAAACTAGTTTAAATCTGCGTATTTGGCAAAATTATCTGTTGCTGAATTTCCATTTTCTGTGTTAATCTCTTTTTGCATTTAAATCTAACTCTGTATTAGACATGTATCTAGAATGCGGAAAAATGTCTTAAAATTCCTTAATTTATTTAATTTAATGGGGTTTAATTTAAAGATGTGAAAACCTCCTTTGTTTATAAAACACCTGACTATTGGTCAATAGTTTTCTCTTTAATTTTTCTCTCTCCTCTCACATTATCTATAATAAGCAGGGAGAAATGAAGACACACCGTCGATAGTTTGCTTAGATATCCCATCAGCTAAACTTCTGTCACTAATTCTAACTTCATCCAGTGTAACATAACTAAGATAAATTCTGTAACAAGGTACACATAGTTTCCAGTTCTAATACCACGTTTGTGACAGAAACAAAGCAGGTGTGCTCTCTGCGAGGTGGTCATCTGAGATCTGAGACGAGGCATCACACAGGTATTTTCATGATATTTAAGGGTTTGGACAACAATAGTGATAACAATTCTGATCATCACTGGCTCTTACCGGAAAGTTTACAGGTAAAGTTAAGGCTGTTATTTCATTTTATCACCTAGTTAGAATGAAGCTCAGAGGAAAAGGTCACATCCTAGGTCACACAGTGAGGAAGAATGGAGCTGTGCTCTGCTCTCCACACTACGCACAAGATCCCAGGCAGGAGCCCAGGTTCCACCGACACGTGGCATCTGGAGGGCAGTTCTCAGGGAAGGATTCTAGGGCTCCTGCTTCCTCGGGCAGGGCGCTTCCTTCTGTCAATTGTGCACTTGCTCCTTCTGCAGGCTCTGGAGTGAGCACTTGCATTGCTATGAGTTATTCATATTCTCTCCCCTATTATGGCAAAAAAACCATATTAAATTTTCAATTTATTTTCTCTGAAGCACACTGCGTTAGCAGAAAGGAATAAATCACATTCCTTCACCTCGCCCACAGTCAAAGATTCCTGAAGACAGAGCTGATGTGATGTACTTATAGTGGATTTCTGCTTGTCAGAGGTGGCCTTGGTCTTCAAGCTTCAGCAATTCTGAGAAGCCAAGGACACCTCCATCTCCTCCTCCCTGCTCTGAAGCTCAACTGAGAACAGCTTTCTCATTGAAATGTCTTGTGTTTAAGGAATAAGAGTCACTATTTCAGGTTTGGGTGCCCAGGTGCACCCACTAGATCCAGCCCAGGACTGGAGATACTTTCCAGAACACAACATCACCTGAGACATGTCCAGTCACACTGTTTTACTTTCACAATCTCTGCTTCCTCAGAAGAAAATTAAAATTGCTGAGACTTTTCATAAACTTCCTGCCATGTCATTTCTCTCTTGCCTTGCCTGTTCATTTATGTCAGACCAGGTACCACATCTATGTAATCAGGTTAGAATCCTCGCTCCAGTAACACATGAAGAGGACCTTTGGTTGCACTTTTGGTCTTTGCTCCAAAATGTAAAGATTACAAAAGTCATCACCCTTATTCTTAAGTCAAGAGGTATCTACACAATCTGATCTTCAATACCTTTGGGAATTCATCAAAGGAATGAAATTCCAACAAAAAATTGCCCACTCCCAAAACTGGGGAGACAGGCATGTCCAGAATGGCAGTTCATACTAGCTTTACTGGAACAGAAGCTGCAGAAATATTTCTGCGGTTTCTGTTCCAGTAAAGGGAGTGTCATATATATATATATACACACACACATATATATATATATGTATATTCACACACACACTTTATTTATATATATATATATATATAGCTGTTGAGGGCACTTACATGGTAAGCACTACAGACGTCTGAAAGACAGATGTGGACTAGGGTGAAGTGACAGTTCCAGAGGGCCGTACACTCCTCAGTCTTCTGGACTTTCCCTCCAGAAACCTCCAGATTTGAAACAATACATCCAAATAGGTTTCCTTTGGGTCAGAAGTGGGGAAGTTTAATTACTGAAAAATATGCTGGGAGCCTTCTCCAAAAGTTCCTACAGGGAATAACTTTTCCAGAACCTTATCCTATGTGAAGGAAGACAAATCTCCCATTCCAGATCCCTCCCCCGTTCTTCCATGATTATATGAAGTTGTAAGAAAATAGTCCATAGACAGGTAAGACGTAAGCAATAATCTGGGTAAGATAAGCAAATAATCCAGGTAAGATGTAGCAAATCCAGGTAAATAGTCCAGGTAACATGTATCCAGGTAAGATGTAAGCAAATAGTCCAGGGACACTGAAACCACAAAAGGGAGTAAAGACGAAAGTAGAGCTTTTCCCCTGGAGACGCCTGGTCAAGGTCACAGCCACTGCAGAAACCTCACTGCAAGGCAACGCTGGGCTGAGGGGGCACTCAGGAGCCTCCAAGCACAGGTTCCAACTCCAGAGCAGGTGTACAGAAGGATGGGGAGGAGGTTTCCTCTCAGGGCCTGTGTCTTCCTTTGTCAACAACAACAACAACAAAACTAAGTGTTCAACCAGCTGCTGATGTGCCTTTAAATATTCTGTTACATCGGACCCATTCATATAACTTAAGGCAACGAGAACTATTTTTAAAGTGTGTTTCTAGGACAATAAATATCTTAATAGTGATGATATAAATGATAGGAATGGTTTTATTAATTGAATGGATACAAAATTGTGGGAGTCACTATATTCCTATGAATAAAAAAATTCAGATTTCCATGTTAGGTAATGTTGCCCACATTGTGCATTTGACAGGGCAGTGATGGATCTAAGAGTGTGGCAGGTACACAGACCCAGTGAGTCAGAAACCAATACGTAAAGATGAGGATCTATGGATATGAACTGAAAGTATGTAAACACTTCATTAAATTCTATTAAATGGAGTAGGAAATAAAACCCAGGCTTATTCAAAATATGAATTTCTTGACAATTATTTTTGGAGTAGTGAGTTCATAAAGAACTCCAAAGTTCTTTTCCATCTTTTGATTCCTATTTTCTGTGAGATGAGAAAATCAACTCTAATTATGCATTACGGGGCAAATCTGTAAACCAAGGGTGGTTCTACTGAAGATCCTGGTGGATCAGGATGCCAGGCAGGTGCTGGAGACACTGTCTCAGGAGCGCCCAGCAGATCTCAGAGGAACCTGCTGGACACTCACGTGGGACATCAGCACTCACTTTCTCAGAGTCACCAATGAGCTGTGGCTGGTGCCTGATTCGACCAGGATGGGGTCACAGCACCTGGTCAGTGTCACGAAGAGTGATGGTTCCAGAAATCATCCATGTGGTCTCCATGCTAATCAAATGTGGATTCACAGTGAGGAGCATGTCTTCTGGGTGTTTGCTTTTCAGTGAAAGGACGACTGGCCACAAAAAATTTGTAAATGGAGCAGGGCATCCATTTCTTCAAGCAGGATTAGTGCTTGGACCATCAGAATCCCACTCGTGTAAGGCTGATGCGTCATTCATCTCCTGTTTCTTATCCTGAATCAGGGTCTTGAGCTATGAAATGCTCTGACTCATGAATATATGAATAACCTGAGATCCACGGAGGTAAATATGGATATATCTCAGCCCTGAGAGCATCACCCAATAACCACATCCCTCCCCCAGAGAAGCCCCTGAGAGCACAGCTCCTCATTAGGGACCGGACCTGGAGGATCCTCTTCCTGGTGGCAGCAGCTACAGGCAAGGGGTTCCCAAGTCTCAGTGATGAGAAGGGGATTGAGTTCAGTCAAGTGGGCTTTCATCTATTCCTGTGTCCTCCCCACAGGTGCCCACTCCCAGGTGCAGCTGGTGCAGTCTGGGGCAGAGGTGAAGAAGCCTGGGTCCTCAGTGAAGGTCTCCTGGAAGGCTTCCAGATACACCTTTACCAGTTATGTTATGCACTGGGTGCGACAGAACCTTGGACAAGGGCTTGAGTGGATGGGATTTTAGTTATTTGAGAGATTTTTCACATGACTTTTATTCTGTGAGCAAATTTCAGGGATTGTAGAATGAACCAAATTAAGAAATCTGATACAGAACTTCCTCTGAATCAATCTTTGTAAACATCAATTTCTGAATCAATGTTGTAAATATTTTGGAACCCAAACACAAGTTCACATTTTAACTCTATTTTTATCTCTATTTAAAAAATGCCAAAAATCTCATTTTGTGCGTGTAATATTTTGAATTCCCACCATCAATGCATAATATTTCTTGTTTTTCCACATTCATATTTCCATTTATCATCATGAGAATAGTGAGTTTTAGCCATGCTAATAGGTGAGTAATGTTATCTAGTATTTATTTAAATGCACACTTCCCTCATAAAAAATTCATATTTAACAATTTTTGTATAATTTTTGTTGAGATGCCTCACCTGATATTTGGTTCATTTTTAACTGCATTGTTTTGTTTTGATTAGTTGTAAGTTTACTTGCATATTGACTATAAAAGTCATTTAACAAATTAAAAGAATTGATTTAACAAATATGTGACTTGGAAGTATTTTCTCCAAGTGTGTGGTTGCCTTTTTCTCCCTTATCAGGGGGTATTGCAGAAAAATGTGTGTGTCTGTGTGTGTGTTTGCACAAATGTAGACAAAAACATAAAAGAAAACTAATTCGTATGTCATGTATTTGGCATTATATGTGGAGTCTCATTATAAAATACAGTATTAGTGATTTTTTCCCCATGTCTCTAATCTCAGGCCACAGTCAACTCATGAGTGTTTAACCTTCACCTATTGATTGGAGGACTATCCTCCTGAGATATTTGGAAGGCTTCTGTAAGGAGATGTGTTCTTCTTCCCATTGTTTCTTTATTTAATCATCTAATAATATCCGTATTGGCTTATGGATGTCTATTTCATACTCTGAAACAGATCCATACTGCATTATTCATTTTATTGTTCAAATCGCCACAGCTTTATTAGGTGCTGGGAGCTGATTTAGTTTGGATCCTACATCCTTACAGCACACTTCATCCTTCTGTTTTTGAACACTTTGTTGCTTCCTGGTATTACAATAAATTCTAAGCCCGTTTTCTATATTACCTTTTTCATACATAGAATTAGCCATTTTAATAAAGATTCCTTGTTTCTGGCTTTAAAGAATAATATTAAAATAAAATATTGTGATACTGGGTATGTGTGTTGTTAACGTCGTATAAGTACTTCTGGGACCTCTCAACCAATTGGCCTAGTAAATGTGCATGTTTATATGAACCCATGATTACAGACACTTCAAAACTGTTTATGTATCTAATCTTCTGTAACTTGATTACATTAAAAATGAGAAGACTCTGGACTCTCCATCCAGCTATGCTACCATAAGGACCATTCCAACCTTCCTTCCTCGAGTGTTCATAACCACCCACTGCAAAGTGAGGAATCCCCAATCCCATCATATGTCATTTTATTACTTATTTCAGGACACATGCAGAATGGCATCAGAAATGTAAAGTTATACCCTTGTAGGAAACATGTTTATCTACTAGAATAGAGTGCTGATGTGCGGTTTGTTTACAATTAAAACTTATAGAACCTCCTTATTTTCAAAGTTACTTAGATCAGCAACTTCATTTTCCACTTTCTTCTGTGAAGTCATTTCAATTACACGGTATAGTTTCATCAGTCTGAAATTCTGTTACACCGAAAACTATAGTCAAATAAGTAGGATATTCCAGGAATTTAGAGGGTGGGTGTAAAATAAGTAAACAGGTTCTGTTTAAGAAGAATAAGAATATTCTAGTGATATGCAATGGTTGAGACATGACACAATTAATTTGTCTAAGCTCATAATTTTGTGATGGAAAATGTAAACCTAAATATATACAATTGAAATATATTTAGCAATTCATTAACCCCTGGATTAAATACATACTTTATAAAATTATCTAATAATGTATTTGAGAGTGTGGGAATGTTATGAGATGCATGCAAGAAAGAATGAAGTAATTTTCCTGACTTGCATATACAATGTTTCCATTCAACGAAGACCTTTAATTTAAAAAATCAATTTTCTATGCGACTCAGGTTTTTTGCTTCCTGACAAGCAAACAACCCAGAGCATTCTTCTCTTTCCTTGGTTGAGAAAAGTTTTCCCCAAACTTCAGCTCAGTTCAGGCATGCACTGTCCCTGAATGGGCATGTACCCTCAGATGGGTACACACACCTGTCAACATGTGGACTCTACTGTCAGACAAACACACCTTTACTCATGTGGCTTCTTCCCTCAGACAAACTCACATGTCCCCACATGGACTCTTTCCTCAGACCACCACATATGTCCTTACATTTACTCTTTCCTCAGAAAACAGACATTTCCTCATATGGAGTCTTGTCTCAAACAAGCAGACATGTCTCCATGAGAACTCTTCACTCAGACAAGTACACACATTTCCACATTGACTGCTTCCTGACACAAGCACATATATCCAATGTTGAATAATTTTGTGGCAAACTGATCTCAAGAGAATGACAATTATAAAACTCCTTCCTGACAAGCTGTAGATATGTATTTTTTTTCATTTCAACTTAACTTTGCCTCATTGTCAGGAACACTGGTTTCTAGCTCTAAATGTACTGATTACAGACAGATGTCTGTTTTCTCTGAAAATGTATTTCTTATGTTCTTACTTGTCTTTTTTGTCTATAATGTTTGCTGCTATGAAGATACCTGAACAGTGTCCACATTAGAGACTGAGAAAGAGTGATGGGCAGATTAACCCTGTGCATCCAGACCCAAGAATCCTTTGACCCTGCCCTCTCTGAAATGGAGACACAGAGGATGGATGAGCGATGCTGAGCGGTGCACCCATGACCACAAAAAGAAATACATGGAAATGTGTCCCTTCCCCTCCTTATGAAAGACAGCTCATCCCCTGTTCCTTCAGGCCCTAGTGAGGAGCCACCCCATGTCTGTGCCCTTCCTCAGTGTCCTCACCATGGGGTCTGCACTGATCTGGGCTTCCCTTCTCATCACCCTCAATATTAGTGTCCCTTGTGAATCAGGTCCAGCTGTGGCTGCTCCACATGGGGCTGTTCTCAGTCTGTTCCCTCTGTGTTTGCAGAAGATCTGTGTGAAGTTCACTGGTGGAGTCTGAGGTGGAAAAATTGTACAGCCCAGCAGTTCTCTGAGTCTCTCCTGCACAGCCTCTGGATTCACCTTCCCTGATTGCAGCATCAGCTTGGTCCAGCAGGCTCCACGACCGGGGCTGGTGTGGGCAGCAACAGGGAGAAATTCAAGAGGAAGTTTTTACGTGCACTCTTACACGCATGGTCTGACATCTTTACTTCTTTTATCACGTTTGTTTTGTACATCACAAAGAATGGTGCATTCTTCATCTATTACACTTTTGGTGAGTCTTTTTTGGTGTCTTTTTAAAAACTTGTAACTTTATCCTATGTAATCCTGTTAAGTCCTAAAAGTGTTTTTTCTGATGTCTACTTTGTGTGAAATTTACACAGCTAGTATAGCTTTCTCTTGGTTCGTATTTTCATAATCCATGCTTTCCCATCTTTTTCTATTTGTGAATATGTAGGATAACTTTCTTGTACATAGCTAATAGTTGGGTATTTCTTTTTTAAAACAACTATAATGAATTCTATTTTTTAAACTATTATTTGTTTCTGTCATGCTTTGTTTAAATTAGCATTTTATAATGATGTTTATTTCTCTATTAACAGATTATACAATTCACGTTTTATAAATATAGTATTGGTTACCATAAGGTTTACAATAAGAACTGTATGTAATTGGATTCTAATGCACACTGTGATGGCTTTGATATGAAGTACAGAGATAGTGTAACTGTGTGCTTTGAATTCCTCCTTCTCACCACTCTTTCTGGTTTATTCTCAGTTTGCACTTAAGAATGTTATAAAATATAATATGTAATCTTTTACTGATCTATGCAGTTATATATTATAGCAATTACAAAGATAAAAACTGCACTTCATCTTGATTTTCCCATTTTTCACAGTCTTAATTTCTTGGTATAGATCTATGTTTTGAACTCATAGCACATGGCTACTAGCAGAGAAACTTTGTAAAATTTTGCCCTGAAACATGAATGTGCTGACAAATTGTCTCAAGATCTTTTTTTATGACATAATTTTATTTGCCTTTCACTTTTAATGAAATTGTAATGCATGTAGAATTCCAGTTTGCATTTCCCTTGTAATTATTTTCCTGTATTTATTATTTTCTTCCTGGAGATGATCACACATTACATTCTGCTGGGCTTTTAATAACCACATTTCTGGGCATCTAGTCAGGGCTGGGTTTCATGTGTGTTGTTGCCATGGCTATCAGAGTTGAAGTCAGCTTCTTCTGTTCACAAAAACTTCAGGTTCCTCCAGTGATACCTGCATTTGGTCCGTTTGACTTTGGGTCTTCACATTTTATTCTCCCCAGAGACAGCCTGTGTCTTTCAGCTGTGGCAGGTGCATCCCACTGACATTTGTACTTGGTGATTGTTTGTGGGGGAAGGGGCTCGGACACAGCGGGACATTCTCCAACCTTCTGACCGAACCTCCTTCTTAGCTACAGGTGGTGAAACTGGCTCTGAAGCATGGTCTTACAAGCGTTCCTGCTCCTTCCCTTCGCCAAGTGTCAGAGTGTCTCTTCCCAGCCACAGTGGTTTTTCATCAGTGTCCTCAGCTTCTGACCCACTGTCCTTACCCCACAGATTCAGGATTTCATTCCTCAGGAAAGAGATGGGAAGTGTGTCCTGGTAGAGTTTCCTTGGTGTCCTCTGTTTCCTTATGTTCTAGTTGATTCTACCAGTGCCCACAGGACACAAGATTTAATAAATGTCTCCCACATGTAGTGAATGGGGATTCAGCATTGAAAGGAGCTGCTGTTCTTCCTCCTCAGTCAATACCACAGGACAGCAGGTGGGTGACTTGTCTGGGGATTTCCCCAATTTTGTAAGAAAAGCCTGCTAGTCTAGGAGTTTCACACTCTCATACCATTAGTACACACGTCCTCAAGCAACTGACCAAACATTTCCAGGTTAGCTTTTTCCTATCTTCAATACCATGCAATGAGTGGGACCTGCCCCACTCATTGCATGGTATTAGACCTACTCTAATAGATGGACCCCAGGTCTCTCTGCAGGCCCCTATTTTCTCAGATTTCAGGTTTTTTTTTTTTTCTCTGTGACATTAACTCAGATATGTTGAAGGATTTATTCTTTTGTAGTCATTAAAGTTTTTTGTTAATGAGGTTAGAATAAGATCATCATTTTCTCATTTTTTTCTATTCTCATGCTTAGTATCTGCTTTCTAAATAAAATTCAGAAACTAAGACAACAAATCAAATATTCCTTATTTGGTGCATTGTTGAACAATTTGAGAAGTTTTCGTGTACTGAAATACAATGAACCATTGAAATCAAGGCACGGCTCATTCACACAAGACCATGGGGACAGTATCAAATAATTGTGCTGAGTGAAGGAAGCTAAAGAATTCACAGGAAACTTCATGTTACTTCATTTGTATAAAGTGTAGAAGATGAAACTATTCAAAATTAACATGGAGAAGATCTAAATTTTTCTGAAAATAGGGTGGTGAGTGTAACAAAGTGGTGAAATAAAGTTACAAAGAAGTGAGACAAAAAAATTAGAGGTTAATTTAATTGCTAAAACATGATTGAAGTGCTGATTCAACAACCGCACACATATATTAACATTTTCCAAATTCCACACTATCAATTTGATTTCACTATTGACTGAGTTTTTGAATAAAGCAGTAGCAAAAATGAATATATTGGCTGAGAAAGAGCAAGAAAGAGATGAATATGGACACATGAATAATCACAGACTACTGAAAATACACACATCTGAACACTGTATATTTCAGGTAAACACTAGAAAAGGTAAAATTACGTAAAGGTGTTATGACAGGTGGGACATCCTGAAAACCCCTCTAGGCATGTCCCACACTGGCCTGGAGTTGTCTCAGGGGAGCAGCCTCCTGCAGTGTTTGGAGGCACAGACACAGATAACAGGGCTAACTCTGGCCAGATGTGTGATATTGGACACATTGCACAACTGCTCTGTTCTGTAATTTATCTTCTCTAAAAATGTAACATTGACACTTGCATTAAATACATTCTGCAATACGTAAAAATTAAATAAGCTGATGTCTGCTAAATGGTTATCAAGACACAATCACAAAATCTGAAGCTATATTTTCCAGGGAGACAGGATTACCTTCAGTGTTTTCCAGGACACTCTCATCTGCTCTGGGCACTGCCTTCTCTGCAGCTGTCCCACCACAAAGCTTGCTATATAGCAGGAGACATGCCAATAGGGCCCTCCCTCTGCTGATAAAAAGCAGGCTAGCTGTGACCATGCAGCTCTGGGATCGGAGCCCAGCCCCAGAATTCCCAGGTGTTTTCACTCGGTGATCAGCATCGATCACAGAGAACGCACCATGGAGTTTATGCTGAGCTGGGTTTTCCTTGTTGATATTTTAAAAGGTGATCTATAGAGAACTAGAGATGTGTGAGTGTAAGTGGACATGAGTGAGAAAAACAGTAGATACGTGTGGCAGTTTCTGACCAGGGTGTCTCTGTGTTTGCAGGTGACTAGTGTGAGGTGCAGCTGGTGGAGTCTGTGGAGGCTTGGCAAAACCTGAGGGGTCCCTGAGGCTCTCCTATGCAGCCTCTGCAGGATTCACCTTCAGTAGCTACTATATGAAATGTGTCCGCTAGGCTCCAGGGAATAGGCTGGAGTGGGTTAGACAAGTTAATCCTAATGGGGGTAACACATACCTCATAGACTCCAGGAAGAGCGGATTCACCATCCCCAGAGATAACGCCAAGAACACACTTCATCTGCAAATGAACAGGCTGAAAACCGAGAACATAGCCGTGTATTACTGTACACAGTGAGGGGAGGTCAGTGTGAGCCCAGACACAAACCTCCCTGCAGGGCCATGCGGGTTTCCTTTCTCATCTGCAGGAAGCAGGCTACTTTTTGCAGGACAGGACTCTGGAGTCTTATTAGGTTGTGATATTTTACTATGTTTATTTATCATGAACTTTTTATTGGGAATTGTGTTTTATTAATTTTTAATTTATATATAGGGGCATTTAAAAAAAATACATACCTTCAAGAAATAATTCTTCCTAATAATTTGCACTTGTTCTTTTAGAGTTTTGTTAACACATGTTGATATTAGCTACTACATAGCTATAGAGACATTAATTTACATCTATAGACATGTGTAAATACACAAACTTATGCATACATGTGTAGTCTTTTATATTTAATATTATAGTAAAATTATAAAAATATATAATTATAAAATATGTCCTAAAGAATGAAACATATAAATTATAGCAATCCACAATTTCTTTCAATCATTGCCTATAGTTTACATAAATTGATGTCTATTTGTAACCTTAAACAAAGTGTATTGGTCATTTTCAAACAGCCAAGAACAAATTTCAAATGTCCTTGTGACACACACAAAAATAAAAATTTGAGGATTTAAGGTGATATACATGTCAATGAGTTCGAATCAATTATTCCATATTGCATTCATAAATCATCACATAACTTTATTCACTATAAATATATACAACCAGAGTTTTTCAATTTTCAATGAAATTTTAATTATACATTTTTTATCCGTTCTAGGTCATGAATGTTTTTCTCCCTGTCACGATGTGATTAGATTGTCCTTAGAAACTCATTTACCCTCCTGCCTCCTGAAGGCTTCAGGAAGCAGCACCTAGATGGGCAGAAGCCGGCAAACGTGTGTGTCCACAGGACCGGGAGCCTCTCCCTCCTTGGAGTAGGTCTCCTCCTCAGGATTACAGGGCTCTTCAGTTTTCTCAACATGCTGTTGTTGTACCAAATAAACACAAAACACTACATTTTCTTAGCTTTAGTTTAAGTTTTCCAAAACAGCATAAAAGTAATAATTTTAACAATAAACATATTACAACTTACTATACATGAGACCTTCCTGTGCTTCAAGATTTCTTCTCAGGACTTTGTATTACGTATTTTCAGTCGTTTTTTTTCTGAGATAGAATCCTGTCGTTCCTTATTATAGATTATTCTTTTAGTTTATCTCTTAGAATGATTCTTTCCAGAGCCCCCGCCCAGCCCACTTGGCTGAATGGAGTGGTACCAGGGCTGAGCCAAGCGGGCAGGGGCAGGCACATGTGCTGCGCAGGGAGCGGATGCACAGCGGGCGGAGAGCGAGCACCAGAGGCCGGGTCGGAGCGGCTGCCTGAGTAGCGCCGGAGATGGGAGAACAGCCTATCCTCACCCCGGAGCGCGGGTCTTCCAGACTGACCCCAACACCAAGAAGAACTGGATGCCTGCGAGCCACAGGCGGTCACCGTTTCCTGCTTCTGTGATGTCACAAGGAACAGTTATGGGATGGTCAGTGTGGACGGAGCCAAGGTGACCATAAACAGCACAGTCACACGGAATCTGACCTTCACGAACACGTCACACACGTCTGGGCAGTGGGCCCACAGCAGAGCCAGCACAGTGTTTGGTTTGGGGTTTTCCTCTGAGCAGCAGCTGACAAAGTTTGCAGAGAAATTCCAGGAGGTGGAAGAAGCGGCCAAGA